ACACAGTGGGAGATGAGTGCAGAACTGGCTGCCAATTACGTACCCCTTTGTGCCACATTGTTGGATGAGCTTGTACTGCGCTGCCTGTCATGTAAATAACGCATGAACTGTACTAATGTGTCTCCTAGATCATCCTGAGTTTGTTGGTTCTAAAGCAGAAACTCTGACGAGACTGGCAAATAACCAAAATGATCACCAGATTCTGCACACCAAGGTAACGTTCATTGTTGAAAACTTGGTATCACTGTGTGACACACAGAAAGCACAGGAGTTTTTTCTGACTACTGCCAACATGTTTGCCAATACACACATTTACCATATCCTGACAACCAAAATTTCAGCTGAATTGAGTACAAACGCTGCAGGAGAAACATACGTCAAGAAAACCCAGCTGTTTTTAGAAATCCTTCCGACCCCAGAACACAAGAAAACAAAAAACCGCGTTCAAAACCTTCAACACAATGAACCCTGAAGTGTTTGGTGCTGAAGATTCATTTTAGAACGTCATCCAGGTGTTGCACCTGTTCCTCATGGTGAATTTTGCAGCTAACTATGACCCTTATGCCAGAGTGTTTCAACCATTTGCCACTAAAGATGGAATTTCAAATCTGAAAAGGAGAATTTACTACTTACCTCAGGGCAGGATTAACCTTTTCTGGGCCTGGCCACAAACATATTTGTGGGCCATCATGGAGGCAATGGAGCATGGCACGTGGAGGTCGGTCCCTGGAGTGAGGGGCTGGCCAGGGGCATGACATGGCATGGCAGGGACCCGCTCTACCCAGCCCAGTGTGAGAGCACTATTTACAAAGCGGTAGTTAACTGACGCACAATGGCCCGCCTGGCCCTGTGCTGTCAGCGTGCCCCTTCCCCCCGGGGGTGAGCCCATGCCACACCACAGAGCTCACCCACACAATACGGGAACACCCCTCTGATTTCCTACGCTCAGCGCCCCCCCAGATCCTGCCACAAATGCACTGCGCCCTGCACAACAGTACCCCTGCCCACAGCCCCACAACTGCCCAGCACCCCACACAGAACCTCCACTCCCTAGTGCCCCAACACACACAGATCTTCCCCACCCCCTCACAGCCCAGCTCCCCTTCAGTCCCCCCAGAGACCCACTCCCCAACTCCCGCACTCCCTGCTGGGAGGTGACTGTGTCTGCCAGGTTGAGCCGGCAACGCAGCCAGGGCTGGTCCCGGGGCAGGGAATCACTCCGGCTCCTCGGGAGTGGCGTGATCAGGCAGGCCAGGGCTCTCCCCCACAACTGGCCAAGACTGGCCAGGCTTCTGCACGAGTCCCAGGCAGCTCAGCTCTGGGAAGACAGGTGGGGCCCCATAGATGACAGGAAGAAGAGTCTGCCTGGAGACAGAGATGCACTGGGGTCCAACCAGGAGGCAGAGAGGAGCTGGCAGATGGGGCCAGGGGGTGAAGAGGAGCCCTTGGCCGACCGGCAGGCAGGCTGAGAGGAGCAAGTGGTGGGCGGGGGAGAGGGAACCAGAGGCTGGCGGGGGCTCAGTGCAAGCGGAGCAGGCCAGGGCCTCTTCTGAGCAAGCACCTGACTCCATGGCACCATTGTAAACCCAGTACTGACTTACCTGAACATGCCTAACCCTGATGTGAAACTGGATGTGCTGGCTTTCTGGAAGTCATCAAGACACACTTCTCAACTTCAGCCAAGTGACATGGTGAGCTCTGAGTGTACCCCCTGGATGTCTTGATGCAGGGTGCTTATTTTCAAAGTTGGACTACCTCCAAGACAGCAAGAGACTCAACAAGAGTGAGGATACTGTGAAGAAAATTATATGAGCGTACGCAAATCAGGATTTCTGGAAAAACTACTAGCTCTGAGTGAGACAAAAATATCTTTGTACATAAAAATGTTTCAATTATACTGTAGTAAAATGTGTATATTATGAACATTTTTTCCCTTTTCCCCAATTTTTTAAAACCCCAATTTCATCCCAGTTTTAATGTTTGGAAAATGAACATCAAAAAATTCCAGTTTTTTTTTTTTAAACACACACAAAAACTAAACACACAGAACACTAAGTATCCTTTAGGCAAACAGCTCCATTCAGTTCATCTAAACACCATTGCATCTTGACAACCAATACTGCTATACTACTATGTATACATAATCCTGCCTCAGTGCACGGGGCTGGACTACATTACCTGTCGAGGTGCCACCCAGCCCTACTTTTGTAGGATTCCACACAAGGTGACATCTGGACATTCTGTTCTGCTAAAGGACCTTTTCTGACAAAAAAAATGATGAAGTGATAGTTGGTTTTGGGATATAACAAATTGTCCATTAAGAGCTGGGCATGTTCATAAACCTGGACAAACTATGCAAACATCAAAGCTTAGGCTCAAATTATTCACTAGTCCCTCAATCCCCTCTAATAGGCTGCCTCCCAACACAGCTTTACTATGCTTCCTAATAGAGCAGCAAGGGATCCTTCCTCGATGGGTTCAGGCACAATAAGAACTGAGCAACACAGGGTCGGGCACAGCTAGGAGGAGCTTGCTGCTAAAAGAAAACAGGTAAAGAGGCCCTGTAAACATGGAGTCTTGTTATTAATGCAGATGAGCAGACAGACGATCTGGTACACCTGGAAGACCTGGGCACATATGACAGGATACTATACAGAGACAATTGGTGTTTATTGTTTTATGTACAGCAGTAGTTATTTCTTTTAAAAAAAGAAAAGACATCCTCTTTTCATGCTTATTAGTGATAGTCTAATAAATCTGTACAGCACAGTCCTCTTAATTGCACCAAGTTATTTTAGTGTACAAATTTAAAAAAAGTTATCACAGCTGAGTGCTAAGAGTAAATGTTTCACCCTGTTTGGAATATGCAAGCATATTACACCCTTGGTAAACAGCTACACTTTTTATATAGGGCTGTTAAAATAACAAGATTGGCAAGATAACCAGTTCCATATATGCCGGCTACTTTTGCGGCTCGCTAGTAGCTTGCACAACAGCAGTATAGCTGTCCTGAGTAATACATCGCTCACCCTTAATTGAATGGTGGGAAGATTAACTGAATGTATTCAGAGTTTCCTTATCATTAAGGCCCTGAGTCAGCAAGGTACCTAAACACATACCTTACTTTAAGTACATGAATCGTCCCACAGAAGTCAATGTGGATGTCAAGGAGTAAATGTGAGGCCATTGGTTGCTAAAAGCAGTTTAATTAACAACTCTGCTCTTTATATCATAGCTTTTCCAGTAGGGCAGCTACATGTAAATATGGACTGTATTACCAGGCTCTGTTCCCTTCGAGTAATCATTTAATCCTATGCTATGGTGTACTTGGGTTTTTTATGGTACCCTGCTCACATGTATCTTAACTTTCGGCTTTATATTCAATGAGACGCAAGCAATAAAAAAAGAAGTCACATTTATGTGATTCCTCCTCTACCCCCCCAAACCCTATAGTACTATTGCTCTAACACCTAAGGGATCACTAGAACTGAAAAGGACAATTTGGAGTGAGGGTGGGAAGGTGAAGTGCTGTCAAATGCACAAAGTATAGTTAGTTTCACTGTTTCCTTCTGCAATTTCTACATAACAATAAAGAGAAAACACACGGGGAAAAAAACCAAATAAACCAACCCCTGTATACTTTCTTTGGCTTACAGAATGCACGGATAAATAAGAATTAAAAAAACACCACAAAAAGATTTCATGAATTATTTCCACAATACAGCTTTGAAATAATTTGATTATGAGGAAAAACTATAACACAATGCAAGGGTTTTGGTGCGTGATGTGATATTCCTTCTCAAATGCTGAACTACTAAAATCATTAAGGTATGTGTGTCTGTATATTACAACCCCTGCCCTTCCCCAAAGTTAGGGAACCATGCTGGATCTGATCTTGCAAGGTGCTGTGCTGCCCCCATGCCCATTGGTATTCTTCACAGATCGTTGCAGGAGGCATTCAGCACTTGAGAGGATTGGACCCAGTGTTAACGTTAAGTGCTCAATCTTGCTGAACTCTGTGGCAAAACTCATCTTCACGTAGATGGGAGCAGGCTGTAGGTGAACTACTGGTATGTGCCCATCTATTTTCATAGGATTGAGTGTTGCTAGCTCTTGCAATTTTAACAGTGAGCTTTCCAATATGAGACTTTATTTAAAGCCCCAATGCCTGGAAATAAAATGATTACATGAGAATCTCAGCTTTCATTTAAAAATAAGAGTACGTTCCTAGCCCTCATGGTTGCAGAGGAAAGCTTGAAAAACATGACAGAGTTCATCCTGAAGGCTCAGAAACCAGAGGGCATATAACCCCCTCACATTTATTTTTAATCTCATAATTTGGGGGGGGGTATGGATCATAATTTTGAACATTTGAAATACTGAGGATTTGAACTGTCAGTTTGGGTTCACAACTAGTGACTATGGCTAACATGTTCTCAACACTATCTACAGTGATTTCTAGAAGAGGGGGAAATGACCTAGCCACATGTGGCAAATCTTAAATCACTATCCATCTGAACAGGGCTATTTTGGAGGGGCCGTTGAGAAGTTTTTAATTTAACAACAAAAATTAAGACCCCCTTTTATCCCAAATGCCTTTGTCCCCTCCACCTTGAGAATAGGCTACTCTAGTCTCCACCTTAGTTCCCCACCACCAAAACTCAAATTTTGGCAGTCATCCAAGACTTCCATAAAAATGAAGAGTTACTGGTCTCCTGGGGGGTGCAGGAGGGAGCCTCCTGCTTGCATTCTGCCAAGATGAATGTAATCCCTCACACCAATTTAAAAAATGAACCCCACAAGGTTTTGTACACGAAAATCCCAACTCAGTAATTTAACAGACTTTACATATTTAGTGTCAAATGTTTGGTTTACTATCAGTGATTCCTTTCACTCATCAGGGCCTAATCCTGCACTTCCTAGGTTCTTGTATACTATGGTGATATCTATTCACCTTAGGAAAACTTGAGTTTAGAAAGGCCACGACATTCAGAGTTTAATTTTGTTTTTCCTCCTTTCAGCAAATAGCATCACTAAGGGAAAGTTTACACTTAAAACGCTGTATCAGGGCAGCACTGAGTTGTGCCATTATAGTGCTTTAAATAAAGACACTCTAAACTGACAGGAGAGCTCTCCAATTGGCATAATTAATCTGCCTTTCATGGAGGGGGAGAGGTAGGTTGGTATAACTACATTGCACAAGGGTGTGGATTTTTAAACACCCCTGAGCAACGTAGTTATACCAATATAAGTCTGTAGTGTAGACCAGATCAAAAACTTTAAATAGGGCAGGGATCTCTCTTTTACCTACCATTACGTGCAAACAACACCTAACAAAGTCAAGGGGAATTGTGTGTGCACCAAAGGAGTGCAGGGTCAGCCTTTTGGTGCTGATGCATAAACTGTTGTAAAGTAGATATGGAATCCTAATCTCGTTTTTTTGCAAGTCAGTAAAAAGGAGAAACAGTCTCAAATATGTTAAAGTAGGACTTTAACCTAATCCCAAAGCCATAATGATTTCGGATTTAAAAAAACAACAACAACCCACAACAGAAAACCCCCACAAAAGCTGTACAGTGCATAGTTATATTACAAAAAATTGCAACTGCAACAAACTTAAGATTTTTTTAAAATAGTGTTTTAAAATGCCTTCAAGTATTTATAACAACAAATACAGCAAGACTGTTGACAGTACCTATTTTCTGTAAAATGGTATGCATGACAGCACTGTCACAGTCTTATTACTAGGCCAAATAAAATGTATTTGGAACTAGAGGCTCAGTTAAAAGCATTTGGTGGTTCATTTCTTTGGATATTTTATTTTTTGCTAAAGATTCTCCCCCCCCCCCCCCCAAGTTTTATACCCTTCAGTACATCTTTGCTAAGGAATTTCGAGCCTACCACAAGTATTGAAAGCTCTTAGTTCAATTATTCAAGTTTCCATTTTGGGAAAATATGCCTTTAAGGCTAGGGCCCAATACTGCCATCCTTACTCAGTCAAATGTCTTACTGAAGTCTTTGGGCCAAATTCACTAGTGACAGAAACAGGCACAACTCTGTTCACTTCAATGGAATTGCATCAGTTTAGATCAGTGGTGATATTGGTGCAACAGGCGTGTTTGCCTGGGTAAAGACAGCAGGATTGGGTGCTATGTTCTCAACAGGGAATGCATATATGGCAAAGGAATGTGTAAACAGGAATATATATGAAAAATATGTAATCTGTAAAATGTATCTAGATACAGAAGTTTTAGTCCCCTCTTAGGCAGTTTAACTAAGTGAGAACTACAATTTTTCTTTTATCAGATATTAAAGAAAGGAGCTAACTACAATATCTTTTAAAACACACACAAAAACCAAACAAACCAAAAAAACCCTTACCATATGACAAAACTTGTAAACTTGTAACTGAAGGAAGGGAAAGAGAAACATTTCAAAAATTCTGTTTTCCAGGCTACCGGTAACTAGCAAATCAGACCATGAACTAATAAAAATCTAAGTAGGATTAAACGTAATCTAAACAATATTTATTGCTCCTAACTTTGCTTTTGATATGGTTGCTAGTATACTTGTCTACAAAAGTACTGTAGATAAGGGTGTAGAGTCCCCAAAATAAAACTGTTGCATTAGCACTTATAGCTTCTCATATAGTGGGGGAAATAGAAGTAACAGTAAGACCTTTTAAATACTTTGTTTGCAAATGGGAACAAAGTAAACCTAGAAAAAAAAGGGGGGTTAGCATAATATATGCACATAATTAAATATTCTAGGATACAGATTTGCATAATCATCAATTATTATGGCTAACATCAAAGGTAAATGTCTACCTATACTGATTTAGCAGTTATTACAGCAGGTTGTATTAATCAGCATTTAATTTCCTTTTCCAGAAACAAACCGATTTCCAAATTATAACAGGAACCAGATCAGGGTCTCTCGGCTTCCACTTTCAGCCTGTCTAGAAACCCAAGTTGAGATCTGCATTGCTACTATTGTTTCTTATTACAGAAGCACAAACCACAGTGGTACGTTACCTCTTTACAGTGGTCCAGTCATCTACCTAGAAACCAAGAAGTCATGTTGGCTAGAAGTTAAATGTAAGCTAGATTTAATATTCTAAACTTAAAAAAAGGTGAGCCTCCCCAGTCACACCACTTCTACAGTCCAACCCACCTTCTCTACCCCCATCCCTCCCAAAAATAAAAATCTTATCACTAGGAGTGGTAGATTCAAACCTTCTTCAAATCAGGATTGAATGCTGAGTGACAACTTGGATTGGAGTGGGGGGGGGGGGAAACATGTTGTCATCATACAATCAATACTATTTATGCTTAGGAGTAGCTGGTGTGGACAAGAGGATCCTTCTTGCTTAAAGGCTTTTAAAAAAAAATAAAGTGTTTTGGAAAAATAAAAGCCAAGCTTTGTCTGCTTATTCTGGAACCACTGCATTTGTGAATATCATTTTATGCATGTCACAATCTGTGTTTACATCTTCTAGTATTGTTTTGTAAACCGCTGATCAATTGATGTGCAAGTATCATTTAGAGAGCATTAGGTTTTATACACATGGCTCCATGGAAGTGCCATTCAGCTTGTTCTTGCTTTTGTTCTTAGAAAGAATTTTCTTGTGAAGGATGCGTGTTAGCGTTGCTCCCTTCCTTCGGGTTTCATCAGATGTTGGCTGCTGCAGGTAAACAAGGTCATTGTGTGACTGGCTCATTCCTGGATCCTTCTGATGATGCCGCCGACGGAAAAACAGCTTTGCACTTTTTTTCAAAATTCCACCTGCAGAGGTGAACGAGATGGAGAATTTAGATATAAATATGCTTTCCCCGATGGATCACCATTTTATTTTGTTTTAACATTCTATTAAAAAAAAAATCATTTTTAGTGTGCTTCTAATTTTAAATTATGCCCTCTGAAATACTTAATGTGAAAGACAAGCTAGGAAACCAAGACTGTTCTGTACTGGAGCAAGAATATTATGAACGTTCTCTAGGTTAGATAACATCAATGCTCTATCAAAGTTCTGTTTTGTAACTAGTCACAATAACTTAAGTTTGCCTGTACACGATCTGTGCTGTCAACTAGATGCTCACATGACAGAATGCATCTACACTGTATGCTACTGTATTTCCAGCAACATGCACATACATCCTCCCTCCGCCCCAAAATGGAACAATTTTGGGAAAGTCTAGGCTCTTAAGTTAGTGAAAGAGCAAGTGTGTGTATATATATTCTTTCACCTCCCCTCAACTCCATGGAAATAGCGCTTTTCATTCTAACCTAATCACTCAAATTCATGAGGACCTACAGCAACTATAGATCTCTATCTATGCACAGACACTTACAGGTAATAGAAAAGCCAACGAAGAAAATATTATCTACAACAAAAGCAATGTAGGCATTCACTGTTATTGTTAAGAGGAGCACTAAAGAGAATGTGTTTTCCTTCAGTCCTCGAAAAAAGAGCGTGGTTGAAAAGGACAGAGATGCTATTACAGAACAAGGTACAGATGAGAATTGTTTATATTGGAGATCCTTTGAATTCTCCAACTTTTCAGGGCCAATCCACGAGTATTGTAGACTTCCCTTCCATTTGCTTAGTTTCAGTTGCTCTCTTAAAGCCCATGATACATGCATAGCATTCATTGTGGGCTGCAACATTCCAGGATCTTTGAGTTCTCACATCTCATTCAGGTTGATTTAATCCTTCCAATACACTAGGAAGTACAGCATGTGGTATGGGGGAAGAGATATGAAATGAATGGGATGACATGTTCAGAAATACAAACACATTCTACCCTCCTCCCCCCAGATATCTAGTGCACAGATTGCTGCTGAAATAGCAAGGAAGCTGGGGGGGGGAGGGGGGGAAGGGGGGAGAGAGAGTATACAGCTAGTTTATGCACAAGATGAAGTTGGCATTTAAATTCCAAGTTCAGGATCCCCATTGGCATCTGTAAATGCTAATTTATTCAGAGCACTACATGCCATGTGCCTGTACAAGTCAGTGTGTGTATTATAGGTGGAGCTGGTACCTACAGTTAAGTTGCCCAACACTTGCCATTATAAAGGTCCTGTTGTCAGATGCTTATAACTTTGCCTAACTTTAGCTGACTGGGCATGGAAAGTGGCTAAATTTCTTCATTTTTAAAATTTCAGCAGAAAGGATTCGGCTGTTTCAGAAAACGAGGCTAGGGAAACATACATTGTTTTCCCCATGTTAAAAACATTCTTGCAGGTGTTTTATTGAGACGCTCTAGTGCCATCACATTTGGCAGGGAGCCTGCTGTCAAGGGTGTGCCATTTGCTGTTTCCATGAGGGGGGGAGGAAAAAAAAGAAAAAAAAAAAAAGCCCAAATCTGGACTAGTAATAAATCTTTGAAAAAGTCTCAGTTTGCACATGCTCAGAACAGACTTGTTAGAATTTAGCCGCCAAACTCTTCAAAATCCCTCTCCAGTTTGTCGTCAAGCAGGGTTGTTAAAATGAACAGACATAAGTAGTTACGTAATAAATTAATACTCCAATTACATGAAAAATACTTTTAATAATACAGTCCTGATTAATGCATGAAAAGGCAACCGTGTCATGTGTTATGCGGTCATGCCAACTACAGCCTGTCTCCCCTCAATAAACTTGCATCTGTAACACAAATCATCAGTAATCTTTTCTTTCTGTAAGAAAATGGATTGCTTTTGGGAGCCAGCAGTCCCCCACTTCTATGAATTCTCTCTTCTGTAAGTGATCCTGTTTTGTGTGTGCACATAGCCTCAACTGTGAGGCTGAAGCATGCAATTAGTCAGTGTCTGATACAAAACCCTGAAGTTAAGAGGAGAGGTCAGCCTACATTGGTATTAAAAGGAAGGTCTAGCAATACAGATTTAAAATGACAAACTTGGTTTTGTGCACAGTGGGGTGGTGGCATTTTCATCTCCTCCTCTAGAGTGTTCATGCAGATTGGAAATTGGCAGTTAAAGTGAAGAACTTGGGGGGAGTGCAGCTTAGGACCCCAAACAGTGAGCATCAAGTACTCATTATCTTCCTCTCTGGAGCTCAAACTAGTACAAGAGAACAAAATGTGGTCTCCATTACTAACTTGCCAGTGCTGTACAGTCACAATAGTTTGTATCCACACCACTATCTAATCTAACGAGTCTAGCTAGGCTCTTGTATTGGCACCCATCACCATCTTGAGGCCACTCGCTTTGCTTTGCTGTCATTACCTATGAATACATAAACCAAGGCAGACAGGGAACTTTTTACATTATATTGTCCTGGAAGTAGGATATGGCTACCATTATTGTCAATGGAGTCTCCTGTCAAATGCATCACATTAAGACATACCCTAATGAAATTCAGTGCAATATCCTTACAGTTAATACCAGATTAGTTGTCCTGTACAACAACATTGTTCCCCACTCCCACTCAAATTGATTATTGAAGAATTGTATTGAGTACATTTTTTGTTTAATTAATGAGTTTCATATCCCATGTCTCCATACTATTCGTGGCTTCGGACTAAAGCCCCTCCTTCTCCCAGTCTTCTCTATTCCACAAAAGTAGCTTTCATCCAGGAAGTGCAATATAGTTATTTAATACATGCCTCTGCTTTCACTCTGGTACTGCTTATACTTTAATGGTCAATCTATACTTCTGGAAGCAGGAGTATCTTTCTTTCAGGAGGTGCTGCTAGTGAAACAGCCAAGTTAGCTGGGCAGTAGGATGGAAGGACAAATGACTGGAAACAGGTGAAAGCAAATACAAAATCAACTTGTATTCTCATGCAATCCTTTTGTTATTTCTGGCAAGAGAAAGGGAGTGGGGCACATAGAATCCTTAGCAAGCACTCTGAAGGAGTTCAAGTCACGTTCGAGTCTTAATTGTTTTGCTTGGCTCCATAAAGGCAAACAAACGTGCACTACGTATGTAATGAATAGTACGGTTTTTGAAACGATATTGCAATATTTTAAATATAAAGATATTATAGCTCAAATAATTGGGGATTGTTAGGAAAGAGTGTTAGAAAGCCATAAACAATTTGTAAAACACACACAGTATTCATGTATGGGTATGTAATCATCTGTAGTTTGTATGTGCATGTCTTTGGTAGGCTCCTACAGGGATGAATGCCACAGAAATCCAGCGAGATGTCAGTAAAATTGCAGTAATTATCCAAGTTTCCCCAATCTGTTATCTTCTCCCCCACTCCCCCAAATCAATTATTTGTAAGGGTAACACACTTACAATTAGAATAACTTGCTACTACAGACTAAGCTGCTAAGAACTCTCTACATAAACAAAGGTATTGCGGAGAGAAGGAAAAAACCCAACCCTGACACAGGGAAGAGAATAACAGGTGAGAAAACAAACGAAAGTTTTGCTTCACTTTTGCAATATATGTCTCACAGTAAAGCTACATTTTCTTTAATAAAAGTAAAACAAAAATAACTTACTGTGTAGGCAATTAATTCAGGTTGGCATAGTAGTCCTCTTAAGTTTACAAAAGGCATGAGTAAGAAAGATGAAGTCAGAAAGGTAATAAGAGGTAAAAAGCAACACAGGCAAGAGCAAAAATAATAATGAAAGACAGGACAACTTGTGAACCATTAACATTGTACTTGAAGGATTTTTTTTGGTTAAGTAGAACATTTGGCAAACGCTTCCCCTGCAAAACGAATGCAGATGTGAGTTTTTAAACAACAAACATCTTGTACTAGCATAACTTAGTGGGGGGCGGATGAGGGAAAGAGGAAATATTCCTGTCTTACTTCACAAAAGCCATGATGCTGTCAGAGAACACAACATACAAGAGCCCCACAGTTAGACTGTGAATTTCTTTTTTCTGACAGGCTTTTGTGTAGAACAACATTGTGCTATTTGTGGAGTGTGACACAAACATCCTCACAATATGTAAGAATGTGACACCTGATGTTTTTTTGCACTAGTGTATTGCATCATGAACTCAGAATGTTTCTACTGAAGAGTTAGGAGATGGTGAACACAATTATTTTAAAAATAGAAAAGAGAGTAGCATTTAAGTCTGAGCAGTCAGATTGTACAGAGAAAGAAGAGTATGTTTTTATTGTAACTGCATTTTTAACAACAACCCCACCCAAACAGCTACTCAAATGTAAGTCTTTGTTTTCCGAAGGTAAATTTTGAAATGAGTCCAGAGGCTTAGTGACAATGTACCCTGGAATCACATATTTCCTAATATTCAGGTCTCAAAATATGAGAGAGTTAAGCACAGGCAAAACCCACCCTCTATAAAAGCACTTCTTAATGGCCAGCTTATGGATACATTTGCCAAACTGTTCATTTACCTTGACAGCTTCAGGTAAGGTGCTAACAATAAGTGACTGCCAGGAAAGACAAGATGGGAAAATCATGACAGAATGGGAGAAACCTCAGCACGTAAAGATCCACGTTATATTTTACGGCAGAGATTATGAATTTAAAGCATGAGAGATAAAAATTTTGTGGTGGGGTTTTCAGTACTATTCCTGAAGGCCATAAAAAAAAAAGTCAGAAAAGGTCTTGAGGGGGATGGCATACATAAGAACTTTGGCAGCTACTGGACAGTGGCCCTTCGACTTGCCTCTCTCCTACACTAGGTAACAGGCAAGTGGGTGAGTGGAGTCCATTGAACAGAATGTCCCCAGCTCACCTCCCAGCTGGTTTCTTTCAGGTTCAAAATCCCACCAGCCACAGAACAGAAGCAGTGAGACTCAAATTCGTCTCCAAAGTTAGTATGAGTACAGGGGAAGAAAAATCTAATGAGCCACAAGGCACAAGACGTGCCCAGGTCATTTGCAGCCTGCAGACACACTCAGGCAAGTATCAGTTATGATAACAAAACAATTTGTCCCTCATTTAAAGAAAACAATCACATCCTGTGTGTCACTCTCTTTTGTAAAGATCTGTATTATTGAAAAAGGCAAGAGGGGAGAGGGACAAACTGTTCAATGGGTAGTTTAATATGCACAAAGAGTAAAAAGTTTATCAGGGACACAAATATCCTTTTGTGGGGAGGGTCGGGGGAGGGGACAGAGGGAGGTTGTGCACAGAGGGGATGGTGGAGGGGATTGTGGATTTGTACTGTTTTCTCTCTTTATTTGGGCCCTCACTACTCTTGATCTTAATTTACCAGAAAGAATTTGCATCAGTGAATTTGCAGTTTGGTCACTGATCTCCTCAGAGAAGCCAGATGACTGAATGGATTTGGAGCAATTTACCCTCTCTCTCCTGGAACAAGTCTTTCCATATCGTGATGGAGGGGCACAGTGCGGGGAAGCCTATATTGTATTTTTGTGGTTAACTAGAGGATTTCATTCTTCAGGGTTATGAGTCAGGCACTTTTTACCAGCACCAAATCCACTTGGAAGTTTAAGAAGGTAAGAACAGAAAAGAATCACCCGATAGTGCTGCTTGACAAAGACACTGAAGTTCAGCTATAGAAATCAGTACTTTGATACAATACTAGGCAAGTGTCAAGAGAGCTCATATACCTTTAGATTTTTTCACACTCCCAGATTCCGAGACACTTAATGAACTCCCGGACATCTCTTCACAGTCCTGGTCTAAGAGTGCATTGCTGGTCCATTGTTGGCTGCTGTTATCCAAGTCCCACGCATTATGGCTATTTTCCTCTGGGTCAGTGGCAGGTAGCGGTAGTTTTTTATTGGGGACTTCTGTGGTAGAATCCCCCACCATGGAAGGGGCTTCCTCTTTACATGAGTCATCCATTGCTGCTGCATAGTCCATCATCAGTGCAGCTTCACTGTCCTGAGATAAGGAGGTCTGCCACACAGAGAGAGAGAGGGGGGGAAAAAAAGACACTATTTGCTGGACAAACCAATCTCCACCCCAAGGGTTTATTCATTTTTTGCACTCTGTTTGCATTGCCCAGATACTGCCAAAATTCCACAGTATCGCATATTCTCTTTGCTCCTTTTCTAAGCAGAGCACAGAGCTAAATTAACTTTGGTTTTAACAAAAGGATTAGGGCTTGGTTTAAAAAAAGATCCACTGACCAGTAGTGATTACTGCAGTGGAACACTTTCCTTTGCAAGTAAGCATCTGTGTGGAAGGAACTAAAAAGGTATCAACTTCCAGAAAAATCTAAGCTTTGGTTAAAAAAAAAAAAAAAAGTTTTTAAGACCTTATGGTGGCAAAGGAACCTTTATGAAAGTCTGCTGCATTCAAGTCTATGTAGTGCCTCATTCCCATTTTGCAGACAGTTTCAATGCTGCTGCTCCCAGCTTTCACAGCACAGTGCAGACAGACAAGGGTTATGTCAGCTTGCACTGCTTCTCCTCAGAACCCTGCAAGTAGCTGTGAAAAGTGACAAAAAACGGCAGTAAATTTCACTGCACGGCAGCTTGGAAAAATGAGAAGCAGCAGAGGCCTTGGAGCTCTTCGGTAGGGAGAAGGAACAAGATGGGGGCTGGGGGAGAGCAGCCAGAAGGCTATATGAGGATAGGGAACATAAAGAGACAAAAGCTTCTTCTCTTTTCCAGCAGCTGGAGAGAGGGGTGGGACATTAAAAAAAAAAAAAAAAAAATCAACTACCTCTTTTACAGGGAGCTTAGTCTGAAAGATGAAGCCCCCATGCCCAGTCTAGGGACTGTAGCCTGGTAGCAATTCCAACACCATCTCCTTGCCTCGCAACTGGAATTCTCACCAGGCTGTTGAGCCTGGGCATGTCCTCCCCAACCCTAACCACAGCCCCATCTCCCAAGATAACGGCCTCTATCTAATAAAGTTAGTCGTCTAGCTAAATTGTGTCCGATTAACTCTCTGCTTTTAGGCTTAACTTGCAACACTTAATTTCTGAAGCAACAAGGATATAAACCCCAGCTTCTGCAAAAACTGTCAAATGGAAGAGAGCAGAGTGCGTGTTCAAGTATCATACTCAGCAAAGCGAAGAGTCTCTTCAGTGTCGGGCATTAAATACAAGTGTGACTTTGAACTCTACCTTGGACACCCCTGATATGATAATGGTGCTTTTCTTTCTTGGAGATTTCAGCTTCTGCTTTGCAGACTCACTTAACTGTCGAATGGCTGCTTCAGCAACTGGATCAGTGCCATTCAACACCAGCAGCTCTGAAAAGAAAGGAAAGTGCTTTAAGATAAAAAGTAGGCAAGGGTTTAAGTGCAGAGCAAAGCATAAGAGCAGGAAAAGGAAGACAGCTTGAATTTTAAACACAACAATAGAGAGATCAACACAATCATGTAACTAAAACACCACATAACCAAACGTAAGCCAAATGATCATTTTACTATTAGTTTCCATTCCATTCCCAAATCCTTCCTTTGTATCCTGGAATAGGTATGTCATTCACTCTTCCAAGACTGTACATGAAGCTTCAGAGTCTCTCTGGACACAGAATGTCAGACTGGAAGGGACCTTGATCGGTCATCTAGTGCTGTCCCCTGAACTCATGGCAGGACTAAATCTTATCTAGCTCAGTGGTCCCCAAACTTTTCAGTTGCACCCCGCCTTACCCCCATCCGCGCCTCCCCCCGCCCCCTCTTGAGCCAGAGACAGGGCGTGGACGGGGTAAGGGAGCCGAGGCTGGGGGTAGGTTTGGGGCCAGGAACGGAGCCACGGCCACGGGCTGAGGCTGGGGCCAGGAGTGGAGGCCACGGTCAGGCTGCAGTCGGGGGCCAAGACTGGAGCGGGGACGGAGCTGGGGCCAGGAGCAGAGCCACAGTCAAGAACCGGGGCCACGGCTGGGAGCAGGGCTGGAGCGGAGCTGGGGATGGGATCAGGGCTGGGTGGCGCTCCATCACCACCCCTTGTGAGCTAGCCTGGGTCCCGCCCCCTCAGAAGGTTCCTCCATGCTCCCCTGTGGGGGGAGCACCCCACAGTTTGAGGACCCCTGATCTAGACTTTCCCTGACAGGTGTTTGCCTAACCTGGTCTTAAAAACCTCTTTGGGCAATTTATTCCAGTGCTTAACCACTCTGACAGTTCGGAAGTTTTTTCTAATGTCCAACCTAAACCGCCCTTGCTGCAATTTAAGCCTATTGCTTCTTGTCCTATCCTCAGTGGTTAAGTAGAACAATTTTTCTCCCTCCTCCTTGTAACAACTGTTTATGTACTTGAAAACGGTTATGTCCCCCCTCAATCTTCTCTTCTCCAGACTAAACAAACCTAATTTTTTCCAATCTTCCCTCATAGATCATATTTTCTAGACCTTTAATCATTTTTGTTGCTCTTCTCTGGACTTTCTCCAATTCGTCCACATCTTTCCTGAAATGTGGTGCCCAGAACTGGACACAGGACTCCAGCTGAGGCCTAATCAGCGTGGAATAGAGCGGAAGAATTGCTTCTCGTGTCTTGCTTACAACACTCCTGCTAATACATCCCAGAATGATGTTTGCTTTTTTTGCAACAGCATTCACTCATATTTAGCTTGTGATCCACTATGACCCCCAGATCATATTCTGCAGTACTCCTTCCTAGGCAGTCATTTCCCATTTTGTATGTGTGCAACTGACTGTTCCTTCCAAAGTGGAGTACTTTGCAATTGTCCTTATTGAATTTCATCCTATTTACTTCAGACCATTTCTCCAGTTTGTCCAGATAAATTTGAATTTTAATCCTATCCTCCAAAACATTTGCAACCATTCCCGTCTTGATATCATCCGTAAACTTTATAGAAGTGTACTCTCTATGACATTATCGAAATCATTGATGAAGATACTGAACAGAACTGGCCCAGAACTGATCCCTGCGGGCAATGTTCCCTCTAATTTTTTCCATCCATGTGCGGAATGAATTTTGTTATGTGCACCAATATCGAGGTAATGTGCGGCACCAGTAGAAACAAAAATAAAAAATATATATATTATATCTAGATTTAAGTTACCATAGGGATAATTACTCCAGCCAGGACAGGTTAGGCATTTTAGAACTCACTACTGACTGAAAGAATTAAATTTAAGCATAAGAGAGAAATAAAATAAAATGCACAGACCAGTCAAAAAACTAAAAGAATAAAATTACAGAGAATATATGTACAATTCAGGAAATACAAAGAAGTAACAACAACACAAATATGTGTTGTAGATGAGTGTGAAAGAGACTGTGTGTGTGTGTGTGTGTGTGTGTGTCAGAGAGCTGCTGGGGAAGTCTATGAGAGACCATGCGCTGTCTTTTTAAGGCACTCGCCAGAAGGCTCAGACCACAGCAGCTGCCAGTAGCTCTCCTGCTCCTGAGCCCTGTCCCCTCTCCCCTGCTCTGTGGAGATGGCATACATGGGCGGGGGAGGCGGACACCCTGACATCAGCGCCTCTCCTCCTCCCTCCTTCCCCCTCCCCCATTCTGCACAAGCAGGAGGGTGCCAGGAGCAACTGGCCAGGGGCTCCAAGGCAGAGGGCAGGAGCAATGCGGTTGCAGAACAGCAGGGGGAGGGGCATCTGAACACATGCTGCCGTGCGCGGCTCTGCTAATCAAGTGTGTGGCACCTGATTCACTCCTGGGCCACCACGCGACCGCGCAGCTTAGAGTGAACACAGCGTGCAGGATCCCACTCGATATGCCCTTCAATCTTGACTGTGAACCAATGATAACTACTGTCTGGGAATGGTTTTCCAACCAGTTATGCACCCACCTTATAATAGCTCCATTTAGGTTGTATTTCCCTGGATTGTTTATGAGAAGGTCATGTGAGACAGTATCAAAACCCTTACTAAAGTCAATATATACCACGTCTACTGCTTCCCCCCTTTCCACAAGACTTGTTACCCTGTCAAAGAAATCTATCAAGTTGGTTGAAATGTTATAAATGAAGTAAACAAATAGGCCTTAAAGAAGCCTAAGCCAAAACAAAAACAAAAATATTTAAAGTAATCTGCATGAACTCCAGTCACTGCACTGATGTACAACACCTTACCTAGCATGGATCTTTGTCCTTGGGCCAGCAGATCTTCATCGTCCAGCAAACCCTCCAACTGTTTCAGGAACTGTGTGAATTGGCTCCAGAGAGTGTGCTGTGTACTCTAATCTCTACCCCAAAGGAGCAGTAAATTCCATAGCATGTGCCATTTAAAGATGACATAATGAGTCTCTACCATTATTAATTTCTATGATACTATAGTTCCAAGAAGGGAGTGATGTTCACTGTGACACAAGGAGTGAAGGACACAAGGACAGTGGATAAAGGAATTTTTTTTTTTTTTTTAAAGTGCATTGCAGGAAGACATCCACAAGACCATATAAATAAGGACACTGAAAATTCAAAATATGGATGGGAAAAAAAGGTGTTTGCACTTATATACACTTGAAGGGTTTGGGTCTATATTTAAATACATTAAAAAGCATATGTAACCACATGCCAAAAGTGAATTCAAGAACGGTTCTACCACCACCATCCCTACCTAGTATTTTAAACACACTTCATCTTCTATCTCCTGGGTGATTTACAAAAGGTAGAGAAGCAGGCACAGTGAGGATACACGAGTTGCTTAAGGTCACAAATGAGTCAGTGGCAGAGCTAGAAGAGAATCCAGTCTTCTGACTTCCATAGGCGGTCTCTCTCTTCCACTAATTTAGACACAAGGGAGAGTGCACCTCCTCTGACAGGAGGACTCAGCAGCGGTCCCACTCACAAGGGCTTTTGTGCACCATCCCCTCCAGTGGAAGAAGTTTAGGAACTGTGGATTAGGGAGTCTTTGTACCTTCCTAATTCCATGGAGCCCAGGGATGTGTAGGAAAGAGACATTTAGTTGACAAGTAAAGAGGAGCCAACCTGGCTGCTGCTCCATTGGCTTCCCTTCTCTCCTAACAGCACAGCTCCTTGACAGATTTTCAGGAAGTTAGGAATTAGTTACACGCAGACTTCTACACTAACTGTAATATTTAGTAACATAAATGCTATGATACCTGCCAGAAGGCACTAAGGCATGGGTCCTGTTGTTAATTTAATGTTTTAGGATAATCTATGGCATAGCAGAGAAAAAGGGATATAGATACAGGCTTTGGAGGTTTCTCTCTTACCTGTATCCGAAGAGGATAACACTTTGCTGACTGGAGCACCTTGACAATGGATTGCTTGAACTGAGAAATCCTTTTCAATCATTTTCACTTTAGCAGGAGTTTTCACAGGAGAATCTGAGAAGCAAGTTTCTCATTTATTATCTCTCACCTAGATACTCTGGTGATAGGTATTTTAGAAATGTGTATAACAAAAATAATGGGCATCTGAAAAAGTGCTTTTACTGATACAAATTACCATTTGAAAAAACCTGTCTAGTATAATTCTGAGCAAAAGTTCTGTCACTGGTAAATGCCAAATCTTCAGTCTTAAAATGAGCTAATTTTTCTGTTTATAATTTTGATTTTAAAACATTCTAGACAAAAGAGCCACGTAAATAAAACTAAAAAAAGTTTGTGCAATGATTTGATGACGGTAACTCATATTTACATTTACACACACAACATTTTAAGAGGGTTTTAACTTCGTGCCTGTCACAGAAGGGCTAACAACACTAGTTACAGCAAGGCACAGTCTGGACCAACAGTGGACAAGCTTCCTCACACAACATTGCCAATCCACTTTAAAAATAGTTATAGCGATCAGGATTAGAAAGAGCCAGCCAGGTCTGTAATAAGCACAGACTCTGGCAGTCTCATCAAGTTGTATGGTAGTGTTGTAATGTGGACAAGCATCCACCAGAAGCCAAACTCATTTTCATTGTGATCTAAGACAAAAAGTCTAATATTATAAATAAAGTGTAGACATTACTGAGTGCTCTGAGAGCAACATCAACTAAGGTAAGTGACACAGGGAGCTCTTGGTGCTGACTGGCAGAGTATGTAGAGAGTGCATACAGTGTTAAAGGGATCCCCTGGGCTGGGTATCTGCATAATAATTCACTGAGGGGTGATACGTGGGGTCTCTACCAAGAGTTGGTAGCCCACTGGTCATGATAATCATTGAGAAATGTATGTGCAGATAATACTTAAAGGAGTTATGTATCTATACTTAAAATTATGTTTTTAAGGTCTTGGAGTTAAGGGAGGTCACCAAGAGGTGACATACCTCAGAAATATTCCTTTCAGGCAGGAGGTAATTAGCACCTATCTCCCTGTCCGGCCTATTGTGTATTGTATGCCTCGTGCTGTAGGCCTGTTTTCAGGTTCAGGGCACATCTTCACTGGCAACGTTAAAGCGCTGGGCGCGGCAGCACTTTAATGTGGCTTGCATAGTCGCAGCATAGCGCTGGGAGAGAGCTCTCCCAAAAACAACCACCTCCACGAGGGGAATAGCTACCAGTGCTGGTGCACTGTCTATACTGGCACATTACAGCGCTGAAACTTGCAGCGCTCGGGGGGTGTTTTTTCACACCCGAGCGAGAAAATAGCAGTGCTGTAAAGTGCCAGTGTAGACAAGCCCTCAGTCTGAATTGAGAGATTGTGAAATGGAAGAGAGGAAATCTACAGGAAGAAACAAACAGCAGGGGGTGTCCTGTTCATGAATAAAGACCAAGGACTGGTCTGGTTTATCTTGAGCCAGGTCTATACTTATAGACCTGTACTGGTACAACTACCTCACTCAGAAGCATGAAGAATCCACCCCCTGAGCGATACAGTTATGCCAGCCTGACTCCCTAGCAGACAGTGCTAGGCTGACAGGAGAGCTTCTCCCACAGACACAGCTACTGCCACGCAGGGAGGTGGATTAACTCCACTGACAGGAGAAGCTCTCCAAGCAGCGTAGTAGCATCTTCACTAAAGCGTTACAGTGGCGCAGTTGCACGAGCGCCGCTGTAGCACCGTACGGGAAGACAAGCCCTTGGAGCACAAAGAAACACAGAATCCTTCAAAAGCGAGGTGGCAAACTGACAACATGCAGGTCTCATGAAAGAAGAGTCAAAGCCTATCTGGCTGTAAAGCGCTGCAGGGATTTTGGGTGAGCAGTACTTTATTAGACATGAGAGGATCTTGTTAAATAAGTCCCATCTCCACAAAGAGAGCTATGATTCTATTTTATATGTAACCATTTGCATACAATACTTCTACTTGCTACTACTTGAATCTCTGTGCTTGGGTGAATAAACTTAGATATGATCTCAGCATAAACATAGCTAAGTGCTGTGTGTTTGGTGGCGCAGCGATCTGAGGTGGAACTGGTAAGCTGGCATATACTACTTTTTTGGGAGAAATGGATTTGTGCATACTGCAAGTGACCAGTGGACCAGGAGCTGGCTGCTCCAGGGAGACACTCAGAGAGTTCAGGGATTGGACTGTGCCTATCGCTAATCAGCAGAGTACCAGCGGTGCCTGTAAGGCCTAGAGAGGAGGGCTTATGTTGCCCGTGGTCAGCAGAGTTAGGAAGCTGACTCCCGGCAGGCACAGTCAAGGCTTCTTCATACTAAAGGCAGGGAGTAGCAAGGTGCCTCACAACCTCGGGTTACCCCAGGGAAGCGTCAGTAATCAAACTGTTTAATAAGGAAGATCCCTGTCAGGAATCCTGGTCAGGTGTGAATAGTAGCTTAGAACAACACCAATCCATACTAAAGAGTTGGGGGCAGAGGAGATAAACAGGTCAAGAAATACAGAAGTCAGAAGTTAATAGTTTTAAAGCAATGCATTTTCCATATAGGTAATATGGTTTACTTATATCCTCTCTCGTGGGTATGTATGCATATGGGGATGTGGGAGGGATAAAGAGGGTGGAAGAAAAGTGGGTGACTCCACATTTTCTTCCCTTCCCCCACGTGACTGACAACAGAAGTAATATACTTCAAGAAAGCATTATGCATGTTAAAGCAAGGTACTCCCGCAATTTCAATTTCTGTTCTGGTAATGCTGTCCTGTGTCTTTTGCACTTGGTCTATTTTTTTTCAAGTTTTCAATACATCACAAACAATCTGACATCTCATAAGAGCGCCTACGTTAGCAGCTTGTTGTGTGTTTTTAGAGGGTCACGTGCCATCTTTTCGCAGGGGCAGACAGATGATCACCTTGACAGGGTGTAAGAAACACCCCAAATACAATGGATTTATACATTAATAGCAGCATCATACTATCTACTCTACCCTACTCTTTGAGATTCGTGTTTTCAAAGGGAACACACACACAAAAACCCAACCTCACCAAAGAGAGACACCCAACATTCACAGTACCAAGCAAAGGAAGTCATGATCATTTCTCACCTTACTTACCAGGAGGCTGATTCTGCTCCCACTGAAGTCATTGGCAAGACTTCCATTGACTTCCGTGGGGCAGGATCTGGCTTCATGCAAAAGAAATATTTTATCCAAAGTAACCAGGACCACATTAAAAACAAAACCAACCAACACCTAAATAGAACTAGACAATGTTCTTTTTTCTTTCCCCGTCCCCCATAGGAACTATACTCCTAAAAACCAGCACAAACCAAACAAACAATCTTGGATTTGCATTTTAAAGTTTCACTGATGTCTTCACCTGGGCTCAGTGCAGAATGTTTCCCTTCAAGTCGAGGTTTGGTTTTCACAGCAGTGACAGTAGTGACTACAGTCCCACAAGGCATCACGGTTCGATCCTTTTCTATTTTTGTGGTAGGAAGCTGAGCAGGAACTTGCCAGGACTTTGACTCATTAGGTTCTACATAAGAGAACTAAAAAGAGAAAAATTGGTAATTAAAGTAATAATTACACCTTAAAAGGAAAGAGAGATACTTTGAAACAGCAGCTGGAATTGTAGAGTGGACTAGATCAAAGCACACTGATGAACTGTTAGTGCATGTTAGCAAGGTGTCCATAGACCTTTAAGCATGCACCAGGGTAGTGTGGGGCAGATTGACACCCCAGCTTGCCATGAACTAAGTGTTCGTGTAGACAAGCCCTTAGAAGACTCAAATTATTCCTTAAAGCTTTGTCCATAACAGTCGCAGCTTTTGCTTTAAGTAAATAAATATAAATAAATAAATTAATGGAGATATCCTATCTCCTAGACCTGGAAGGGACCTTGAAAGGTCATCAAGTCCAGCCCCCTGCCTTCACTAGCAGGACCAAGTACTGATTTTGCCCCAGCTCCCTAAGTGGCCCCCTCAAGGATTAAACTCACAACCCTGGGTTTAGCAGGCCAATGCTCAAACCACTGAGCTATCCCTCCCCCCTTAGGTAGGGTATGATTCACTGTTACCCTGCACCTTATGCAGTCACTTACACAAGTACAAAGCGAGTTCACAACACTACCATTTTGATTAAGTAGCACCACACTCAGTTGGCACTTCTGTAAATTGTTACAAAACATGCTGGGCAATAGTGTATTGGGCCTGTATTCTTAAAATGGACAATCTGACAGTCAAAAAGTCAACCATAAACATAAGATGTGATACCTCTGCAGTGACCGATCCTAACACAGGGCTATGGCCGCTGGGCCTGCTTGTCAGTGCAAAGCTTTGTTGTCCAGAAGGCTGTTTCCTGAACAAGTCTAGAGGTACAGTTGCCCATGCTGAAAAAGAACCTAAAATAAATGAAAGTGACATAGTAAAGTCTTGTCTGAGCTGTCAATATCTTTGAAGTTATTTTGAAAAGGTGGAAAGCAGAAGCCATTACTACTTCAAACTGCTGAGGCACCTAATATTGCAAGGCATTATCTCTGCAGCACAATAAGGTATTGACTTTATAAAGAGACAGGATTATTTGCAGAGGAAATTTTTAAAGAAGGATCTGTAGTTCTTGCAGGCTAGGTTTTTAGAATAGATATGACACCGCTTGACAGAAAATTAGGCAGATACTAATCATTAATAGTTCTGCTGTTTTTTTTTTTAAATAATTTTTCCTCTGCATCCAGGACACTTGGAGAAAACAAACAAACAAATCAACCTCTAGAGATTCTGAACACTGATGAGACTGTTCAAAATACAATCCAGCTGAATTCTTTCATTTTCTCCTCAACTGCCCTTGTCTTGTATTTCATAGAGGGTGCTCCCTGGATTCATTTTGGATTGGCATAGCCAACTAAGAGTACTTCCTTATGTTGGTCTTAGAGTGCAAGTTTAGAGTCTCTCTCTCTCTCTCAGATATCTTATAGTTATGTTAAAGTGGAATTCTATTGTTAACAAAATTAACATGATGCTAAAACTTTGTTATGTAGGTCGATGGGCAAAATCCTAGCCCCTTTCATGTTAATGCGAGTTTTGCCACTGATTTCAATGGAGTCAGGATTTCACTCCATTAAGTAGTCAGGATTTCCATATTTCAGGGTGACAAGCGTTTATGATTCTCCTTACTGCTGTGCTACAGCTTAGCTTCTTCAGCTGACACAGAAAGGCCCTTTTAGATTAGTCTACTATAAAAGACGCTCACAACACTGACACCCCTTCTATCCAGTAAGCCCCACCCCATGCAGAATGTTCACCGTGAGACGGGAATACCATTATTCTTCAGTGTTGCTATCGATTTTACACGGAAGGCACTCAGATGCCATGGTGAAAGGCAGCAGTATAAAACTCTACGATAGATGGACCTACATTGAAGTTAGACAGCTGCCATCATTTCCCACATTCCTCTTACTAAGATTTAACAACTACTACTTCCACCACCCACATATACAATTAAATATTACTTTTTCAGAAATTTTATGTCTGCTATTTTATATTTATTTATTGATAGACTCTTTTTAAGCAAAAAAAAAAAAAGTAATAAAAATGTGCCATTAATGGTGTACGGTATGTGTAATGGTTGACACATCGTGAAAGACTGTTATTAAAGACACCTACAAAAAAATCTGTCCTGCCCAGGTAAGTGATAATACATACTTTGCCCCCTTACTGTGAAGTGTTAATGGCTCTACATTAGACCAGTGTGAATTTTTTTTTGGGGGGGGGGGGGGATTTCATTTGTGTGTGGGTCTTTCCATCCTCCACATCTCTGTATATATGTTTTTGACAAAATGGCTATTTCCCCCCTCACATTTGTTTGCTGAGGGGAAAAAAAAGTTACTTTCTGTATGTTTCTGATACACAACCATTTCTCCCCCAAAACTGGCTTATTTCCACTTAAAAATCTGTGGCCCAACAGAGCTTTTAAAAACAGCCACAATTACCAAAAGTGTAACAAAATACAAAACTCACCCACCCTTGTATGGTTTTCAGATAGTTTTGTAATTCCTTTTTGCCAACCTTGAATTTAAAAACACATTCTACATGACTGACATAGCACTCTAAATATGGCTTTGATAACAAGTTATTAAATATGGCTTACATAAGTTATATTGGATAAGGGTTTAATTAATACGTAGGAGGCAGAAGGCTGGAGGAAAGGTGTGTAGTGTTTACTTGGTGGGGTGTGGAAAGTTTATCACAGTACTCTAACTTGGTTTTGAATCATTATTAATCTAAAGTTAACTAAATTTGACAATACTGAAATAGAAGAGAATAGCTAAGACTCAGAAAGGATGCTTCCATTTTTACAGAATAATCCTGACATATTAGCAAACTGACCCATGAGGTGTAACACGAAATTTAGAGTTTCTACCTAAAGTGAAGCACTAGGATAGAGAAATACCGCTCTGGTACAAAGTACCATGGCTCATGTAAAAGTTGGGAAACTGAACATTCCCTTTGATCTTAAAACCTGCCTACGCCATCCCCTCACCAGCAATCCAAGAAGAAGAAAAAAATATGCCTGCGCCTCTCCTGATCAAGTAGAGAGTTACTCTGCAATGGAAACATTTTTCTTGTAAGTAGGGATAAGGAGCTCTAAGCTGGGATGGTAGAATCAGGTATAGTAGCGTACAATTCCCTACAGTCAGTTTGATTATACATAAGTGGGATTATGTGCTTGGAAACAGCCAGTTTTGGGCAGAAGGGAAGTCAGGATTAGTCGGGATTTCTTTCTATTCATCCACTCAGAAGAGGTGGATGTATTTTTCCCTTCTCTGGCACAAGAAGTTTTATTTGAAGTTTTATAAACACAAGACTATTCAGAGTTGGTAAGCAGTTCCAGACACAAGTGGCACAAGAGTTTGTTTCTGGGCTATGGTAAGCAGTCAAACTTTTGCACTCTGTGTAGAAGTCCAGGACTGTTCTGCTGACCTGCCAAACAGTAAGTGGGTCTCATAAGCCCATTCAGGAACATAAAACATGAGACGTCTAAGGCAAGAGAATATTAGAGGGTGGAACCATAAAAAACACCAGCCAAGCTCAAGACAGCACTCAGACTCAAGTCTTGTTTGTACATTCAGTCCTGCCTTAGGGCTTTGTTAAAGAATAAAGCAAAACCCAGGAATACAGAAAAGCATTTGCACAATGCCATCCCTTGTGTCAATGTTTGGGGACAGAAGGAAACAGTGAAAAACCCATACCCACTTCGCAGCAGGAGGTCATCTAAAACTGCCACTGGAGTTAGCCTTTGATCTATAATTTAAGTAGCTAAGCCCTAAAGCAGAACTGGGTTTACAAACATAAATTTAATTCTGAAATTCTTCCTGGGTTGGCTTTTTTTTTTTTTTTTTAAATGGTCCAAGCCAGCAAAACTCCCGGCTCCTCTTTCAAGGGTCTCTTGCCCCAGCGACTATCAGCCTTCTTTGTTCCTGGAGTTATTGAGGCGTACCTTATCTGGCTACCAGGGTTAGTCAGCAGAACAGGTCTACATTAACTGCCAACTTCTGACAGTTTCTTACATGATCTTATTCAACTGTGTAAACAAAAGAGGATTTATTTCAAGAGCTCAGTAATGCCCATGAGGGGACCATGCAAAAGAATTCAGTTGCAGTACTTACTATCCAATTTCCCATCTTCCAAGATCTGCAGTTGTAACTCTTTTGATTTGGCATTTAATTCACTGTGGAATAAATAAAATGATGTCAAGCCTTCAAGGAATTTTCATTCCTACTCCAGTTATTGTACGGAGAATGTTTCTCCCATCTTCATTTTAAATCACTCTTTACAGAAGGCTTTATATTATGTCTCACACCTTGCATATTGCACCATACAGTGCAGTGTTATTGTCCAGCCAGTGGAAAGTGTTAGACAGCATTTACAGCACTCTGCCTTTCAAATACTGTCGAGAAAACATGTGACCCACTTCTTGAATTCAATTAACTAGAGAGAAGGGAATGCTGGGGTGGAGCCTAACCTTGGGTCTATCTAGCTTCCTCACTAAATTTAGGATTGCCAAAACATTTCCATTATAAGAGGGCCTTTTTTCAGTTGGTTATAAACTTTGCCTTTCAGGATGAAGTTTTCCATGTCTGTGCTCTACCCGAAGACTGAGAAACAATTCCTTCTGCGTACAGCTGAGACAACAACAGCTCCCAAATTCATAAGTCAAGAAGATGGAATAGATCCAGTGGTCTATTAAAAGTGGAGTAGCATCCTGCCAATGTAAGATTATTTTAATAAGGGAGGTAAATATTACATTTAAATAAATTGTTTTCTGGCATAGATATCTGACCACTGACTGAAACTTCCTGATTTAGAAATCATTGGTGCTTCCCTCTGGTATTTTCTCTAGGGTCCATATTATTTTGGCACAAAGTTAGAATGAAGGGACACTGTAAGAGGATGAGAGTAAAGAACATGACATGACCAGCATGAATCATTAGACACAACTGCTTTTGGTACAACCTGTGGTGCTTTATGCAATAGACAAAAAAAGACAAAAACAAAAACATCACACCCAAATCTATCAACTGGGCTGTTAAAGTATATGGATATTGTGAAATTTCCTCTAAACTTTATTCTGTTCCTTCTGCAATTATTATAAGAGTTCAGTGGAGAACTTTAATATTGGAAACATGTTTCAATATTGGAAACATGCTTCTATTCAGGTGGGAACTTTCTCAGTACTGAGCCACACTTCCAAGGAAGACACAGGGTGCCAGCAGGAAGGGGAGTAGTGTTGGCAATTCAGTAGGTGGCACTCTTCCCATTGAGCCAATGCACCTCGTTGGGGGTGGTTTTATTTTGTCGGCGGGAGAGCTCTCTCCTGCCAACGAAGAGCAGCTACACTGCATACCTTACAGTGGCACTGCTGTAGCGACACAACTGTGCTGCTGTAAGGTGTGCAGTGCAGACATAGACCAAATCCTGACTACTTATCATCATTAAAGAACTCATAGGACTTTGCAAACTTATCTACCTTAGGCAAATGTAGAGCACCCATCACTATGGAAAGCATACCATAACTATGGTGTAATGACCAAGTTCCAGTTAAAACAGTCATCCTGCTCACCTGAACTCCCCACTAACAGATAGCTGAAGCCATCTGCAAATACAGTATATGAAGTTCATAAAGCACTTTGAGATATTTCAAGATGAAAGATGCTATCCAACTGGTTTATTTCTATTACTAATGCAAATGAGTTGCATCGTGCTCATTCCAGCAACGTGGTGGCAAAGAATCACATTGTCATGGCAGAGTGTCTGGTCCGTGGCCTTGCAAGGCCACTGTCTTTGATGAGAGAGACATTTTTCCAGTGATGAGACCAAGCACAGAAAAGAACATAAGTCACTAGACTTTAGGTGTCTTACGATGGCAGCTTCAAGGCTAATTATTTTTCACTAAACATAACAGCAAGATAACATACAGCAGCATGCACTGGACACAACTCCCATTTAAGTGCATGATAAAAACAAGATTTTCAGGGTTGCATTAAGAAATATTTACCAAGCTTCTCTTCCTGGCTAGGTCAAATTCAGAACGTTTATCATACATTCAAATCGGGGGAGCTGCATTCTCCACATCCTAAACTATCTCACTCGACAGTTCCTTCACAACCCGTCCACTGCTGCTGCTTCGCAATGCTCTTACCTGTGCTATGCATGCACCTACACATGCAGCGCCGGGAACAATGAGGAGGGAGAAAGCTTCCCTTCTGCAGAGCTGTGCACTGCAGTGCCCCCCACCCCCACCCCCCCTAGGACTGAAGAACAGATAGCCAGTTCACTCCACCCCTCAAGCAGGTGGTAAAGCAGCTGCCAATCCCAGCAGTAGCACTGACCTAATCCTCTCCTAGATCAGGTCTTCATGAAATTTGCCTCTCTGCCCTTTTAGGAGGGCAAAAGGGACAATGGATGCTGTACAGTGACTCCGGGGTGAGGGGGACACAGGGTGACACAGCAAGTGGCACTTTTCTTTTAAGCGAGTAGAAAGGAGGGAAGGTTCCTAAAATGGATTGGGGTAGGAAAGCTATTGATAGGCTGTAAGGGAGAGGGAGATTCCAATGGGAGCCAACACCTTTTGCTTTAATGCTCTAGGAGAAGAGAAGCACCTACAGCACAGTACACACAGCAGCACCTCTTTTCCTCACTTATTATGACAACCTGCTTCTGCTCCCTCCCTTCCTTTTAGCCAGTAAAGTAAAAAGCCTCTGGCCCTATCAGTGGCTTTCTCCTAAACAACACTGAAGCTGATAGTGATCACCTAAGCAGCTGCTGTGTCATTCAGAGTACCATCAGATAGCAGCTTTATCCAAACTGTCTGTAATCTCTTTTTCCATTCCCACTCCACAGCATACGGCTCTGTGACCTGCACTTACAATAGAACTATACCAAACGCCCTTTTACAGACTAAGCCTTGGTCTGCACTACATAGTTAGGTTGACATAAGGCAGCTTATGTCAGTGTCTACATTACAATCTTGCTCCCGCGGATGCATGTGCCCTACTACACAGATATAAGTCCGACACTTTGGAGGTGGAATTATGTCGGCGTAGTTAGGGCGACACAGTGTCTGTGTAGACACTGCGTTCCTTATATCGGCTGTCTTGCCATTTTAACGGCTCAGCTGGAACTGTGAATTGACAAGAAAGCCAGCTCCCCAGTGGTGCTGCCAGGTCTCCGCTCCAAGCTGGGCTGTCATCCAGGCTCTCGGCTTGGGCTGCTGCCCAGGCTCCCCACTGGGAGCACGGCAACCAACTGGACTAAGGCATGGATCTCCTTTCCAGAGGTGAGAAGCCCCAGGTGGCTTCCCCTCACTCCCAGGTGGGAGCAGGGAGCAGTTGGGCTCCCGGTAGGGAGCTGTGTGGAGCTGAGAGCCTCGGCTCTCAGAACGCCCACACTACCCCTCTTCAGTCGGCAGAAACGCTCCTAGTGAGGACGCACACCACTGACAGGAGGAGGATAGTGTGGATATCAGTCATCACAGTAATTACTGCGATGGCTGTAAGCTGACCGAACATAGGTTGACTTAAGATTGTGGTGTAGGAATGCCCTCAGGTACTTGCCATCATCCCTCTCTATTAGAAACCACACATCTGTACTTCCCAATCCCAGGCCCAACAATCCTCAATTAAAAATAAAAATGACTGAAATCCATGTTAACACTTGCTATAACTCAGTACCAGAAAATTGCTTTAAAAACCAGTTATGCCCTGCCAGTGTCAAATCATCTGAGATAAAACTAATAAGATACGTTAAAAACACAGTTCCTCTTCCAACGTCTTATATAAATTGAGACTGTAGAAACATTTAATAGAAAATGTTATGTTGGTGGTTACTTACAAGATGAACTCCTCTTTCCAAGAGAGGTTAGTGCCATTTTTGGCTACAGAGCTGGAAAATTTCTGTAGAGGATCATTCAACTGAGTTACACACACTGGATTTATGCTGCCTGTATTGGGAAAGGAAAGGAACAAATATCCAACTGTTGACCTCAAGTCATCAATAAGCCTATTTCTCTTGAGCAAGTACGAGACACCTTTTTGTCTAGACCACTGGAAAACAAAAAAAGCCCCCCCCACACCCTAGCGTTATTCCTTCTTCCTACCCCTTATTGTTTGTATTACATTAGTGCCCAGTCAAGATTGGGGCATCCTTGCCCAACGTGTTGTATAAACATACTAAAAGAAACAATCCCGGCCCCAAAGACCTTACACTTTAATTTAAAGACCACGAGCTATGAGTGTCGGTGTAACAAAATCACGAGAGCTAGAGAGAGGAGGAGGGTAATAACTTCTCTTAGTAACTACATTTCCGATTGTTATGTGAACAGTTACATGGTTTCAAGTCACTTAAAACAAAAATTAGATAAATATTTGAAATCCTTACTGATGGTCTAACTGTTTCTTGAGGAACTACTATTTCTTGTGTTAACAGATATTGACCACCACATTGTTAATGAACAATGGATTTACAGATTGCTATTTTTAAAGAGATCATGCCACTCAAGAGCATTGCTCTACTAATACAGAAATGTCTACTAACAAGTTGAAGGTAAAAGTGAATAATTTTACTGTTATTCCAAGTAGGAACAGTTGGTATTATTTATAGCTTCTAAAAAAACACACACAAAAAAAGGAGTAAATTTTACAATGTCAAAAGTCACTATTTTTCATCTTTGGGGCTCTGACAACAGGCAAGAACATACACAAATTCAGTGAGGTTTGTGCACAGAAATAGACAAAGATATATTGAATCTATATTATATATATTTATCTATCTAGATAGATAGATATAGATAGATATAAATAAAATTTGCTATATTAGATCAATCTCAGATGTGTTACCTGAACCCCATACACATAAGACAACCTATACAAAAAACATATGTAGAGCCTACTAGCAAAGTAATTGTAAACAATGGTTATTTACCAGTTAGAACTCACTATACAAACTCATACAGGCATATTAATGTAGTAAAACCCTGTTATGGACAGGTTAAAAATTCATGTTTTAGCCTATCTAGAAACATAGGCAAAGAAACAAACTATGCAGGTTAATCAATCATGCTACAGAGGGCTCCAACAACATGGTCAGACTCAGCTTAATCCTGCCTACAAATGGCAAAAACAAACTATGTTTTAAAAATGTTTTAATGTGATCCAATAACAGTCACTTTCGGAAAAAAAAAATTCCTTAGCCTGGCAGTGCTAAGGATTCACCCCATTCTCAGTAGGGAGCCAAACCCAAGCACAGGGTTTAATGACTGTTGAATTCTTGCCTATTTACACTACAAAAGCCACAGAGACCAAGACTACACCCAACCTGAAGCACTTCAAAAAGGGGCATCTGTTTGTTAAGTAACTAGCGATTCTGGATGCTCAGATTGAGGCATGTTAAAAGATTTTCAGAAAGTTCCGATCACCCATATTCGGGGGTGGGGGAGAATCTACATTGAAAAAGCACCCTTTTGAAAGGTTCAAGTTGGGCACACACAAAATTGAGGCAGCCAAAGGGCACTGATCAGAATTCAGACACTTCTGAAAAGCTTAGTTGGTGCTCTAGCCCTGGAGCAATGAAGCAGGCAGGCTTGATCATGAAGAAGCTTAGACACTTGAAAGACAGGTTGAAAGCCTACGCCCCAAACATAAGCAGCACAACTTGTTTTAGTGGGCAGTGACCTCCTGCTTGGCTTCATGCTCCATGTGCCCCAAGCCAATGACTGTTTTTTGGGGGAAAAAGTATGTCTTTCTTCAATAAAGTATCCCTGCCTGAATAAACATCTCATGAAGGGTTCTAGTGTTAACAAATTACTCAGAGCACAGCTAAACCAGTGTCATACCAAGTAATATTCAACCAAACAGAAAAGACCGTGAGTTGGATTATAACACCTATATTGAGTCATCAGTTGTTAAGCAGAGCTTCCAAATGATTTAAGTGGAAAGTTGTATTAAAAAGTGACACTACAATAAGGGTATTTCAAGGTGTTTTACTTCCTTTTGTTTCCTCTCCTCTCCCGCAAATGTGACTTTTCAGACCATACAATGCCCAGAGATTTTCTTGGAAATCTCTGGGCATAACAACAATTCATATTGGGCCATATTCAACCCCTTCCCACCAACAGACCTGCAGGGGAGAGGCCCTGACTGAGGAAAGAGAACTAAGGAGGTTTCCTTTAGAGTTCTCTCCACGCCCCTAACAGAATGATTACCCCCACCCTACATACACACAGAATTGAACACAACCAGTGCACTGAATTCTATGTCCTCCTCTTCCCACACCCACCCTTGAGGACTGTACAGATCTTGCCAAAGGACAGAACCATCTTGATAAATATCCTATGCCTTCACATTGGCAACAGGGCCCTCTGCTCCTCGGCAGTGCAACTCCATTATAGCCACCTTATCAATTACTTCATCTTCTGCTGCCTCAGAATTCCCCGCCCCCCCTTAATTGCAGGAGTGCTTCATGGTACTGAGCAGTGCTACAAACCAGTTTATTGACTATGGTTTGCTGGGGGCGTAGAAGGAGAGAGTCATGATGTGCACAGTGCATAACCCCTCTTGGTTTGAAATAACCCAAAATTGGTGACCTGGGCATGCTGCAAAGGAATCTGCTCCATAGGGTTTTGGGGGAGGGCTAAGGGTCTGCTTCCAATAACAATGGCAGGATGGAAAGGAGCTTGGCAGGATTCCTTTTTGGAATCATTAATTAGTGCTTCTGGGGTTTTATTTTGTTACAATATTATGTGCCAGGACACTTAGCTTTGTGCATGAGTCTTTTAATTATTCAAATTAAAATAAATCAGTTACTCTGCCCCACCTACAGGTTCTTGGAAGTGGAGAGGATGGAGAGGAAAAAGGCCCACCAGTGCCGCAGAGGCAACAGATCAGAATGAGGATTTATCTGATCCATTCATTATATTTTGTTGTGTCTGAAAGTATGACCACTACAGGTCAAAGAGTCACCCTCCTTACAGCTTTGAAGCAGAATATCTGTCTGCAGTAGATTTTGTTTTACCTGCAGCACTGTGATCAGTCAGTGTGGCTACAATGTTCTTCACTAGCAGTTTTAGTTCATGAATCCTTGGAGGTTTCGGAGGGCTGGTGCCCTGGGGGAGAGTTCCTATGTTTTGTACATTCTGTGAAAAGGAAACAAGACACAAGGGATCAGCTATATAAAATACTCAATACCTTGTATACTCACACAGATCAACATGGTAAAAGTCATTTGATATTAAAAATTACAGGGCAGCATTAGCAACAAAGTAGTCACCTAGGAATTTTAATGTCAAATCCTCCTGTACCAGAGGTTAAGTGGTTTAAAGTGTTTCTCTATGATTTCTGATCAAACAGCACAGTGTTAAACTTGCAGTTCATTCACAGAATTATGAGTGTCCTCTGACCAGACATATTAATATTAACAGAAAACAGGTTGCAAAAATTATTTAAATGTATACAAGACTTACCTGTACCTCCTTTATTATATCTGTAGGTTTTGTACTCAAAATTACAGATGGTGAAACTAAACTAATTAGATTCTGGAAAACATCTCTGAATGGCTCAAATATTGCACATGTCTCAGCCATCTGGCCCTAGTAGGAGAGAAAAAAGAATCATGCTTCTAATTAATCAGGAGAATAAACATTAATGCAGAAATTCACTGGACAGCTGACTAAGCAGTCTATCACTATATCATAAAGCAAATGTTGTAAGAATGAGAGCAGGTCTAGTGCCAATAGCCAGACATACTGAAATGTCAGACAAATAGTCACTGATCTTAGCTATTAAAAATAAAAAACCCACATTCACAATATATGCATTATAATCACAAGCAGCTCTGAAAGAGAAATGGAAAGGGTAAAGTCATTACTCACCTCAAAAAGAACCTCAGTCATGATTTCATACATATTTGTTATGCTGTTAAAGCTCTTTTACCACCTGGGCAAAACCAGGATAGCAATACAGTATACACAGACAGCAGGTCAGATTATCAAACTAGTACCACTGACTTGTATGGAACTATGCTGACTTCCATTAGCTGAAATTTGGCAACTTCCATTCAGCACACAATGATCATTTTGGTACTTCTTTAGCCCAAACCTCAGTCATGCCTAAAATAGTTCTGTCTGAATGTTCAGGCAGCTCCAGTCAGGAAACTTAAGCTATCATTCCCATCCGCTTGTCATCCAAGAAATGCTTTCCAGATATTGATGGTTCATTGCAGCACTCATTTATGCTCGGTCCTTTATACTGCAGGCATCAAAATGCATTGCAAAATTTTGCTTATACATGGTAGCTTTGAGGTTACTTATAAAGCACACCGATGCAGTAATTGTTTGCTTGCCAGTGATCTGATATAGGAGGTTTACTTTTAGCTACAATCAATCAGTGGCAGCATGCTATTCTATGCTTCAGTTTTCTTCAATATTTGGAATTGAGGGGATATTTAATTAAATTATTGCACATAGACAGCAATTAGGAAATTCAAGAGCACTGGAAGTGGTCCAGGAAGAATCTAGAAGAGGTTCAATTTCTAATGTACAGAGATGTAAATCAGGCTATACATGGAGACACTGCATAGACCTACATGACAGAGAATACCTATAGATGAAAATATATAGAGGAGTGTCTCAAACTGATATCTCATTTAGAAAGATTATACTGTTACAGACCATAACTTTTAAAGGAATGGAGCCAATTTACTGAGTCTTATATGAAACATTCATGTCTCCTGATTCTTACAGTAAGATGGAAAGAGTATCCTGATGTGTGCTGTGGTCAGGTGGGAACACACAGCCATTTTGTACGCAATCGGAGGACTCACATTCTCTGGCAAAAAGTTAGAGACCAAAAAATGGATATTAACTAGGCCCTGTTGCAGAAGCTAAGCTATTTAGCTGCATTCCTGGCAGAAATATCCCAACAACTCACTAGCGCAACTCAAGATGATCACAATAAAGGGGATGAAAGACCTAATCCTGGCAGATGATGAGTGTCCTGCAACAGTCTGACTGAGTTCCATCAACTCTCAACAACTTTGATGAGAGCCAAGAACGCGCAACACATCCCAGGACTGACCACTTCATTTTGCAAACCTACACGGTGCTTTAGAACTAGCACAAGTTAATGAAATATTCCTGCACTGGTGCAAGTGACAACCAAATCTTCACCATAGGCCTAATAAATTTAAAGTCAGAGTTCCTTCTTGACCATTAACTTGTTGAGGGGTAGTATTAGGTGTGTTTGAACAATCCCAATCTGCAATGTATATACATCTTGTTTCACTACCCGCTTTATGATGTCACACTCTGAAGATGTGTAGATATTGTTCATATAAAGTACCCTCCACCCTTCAACCTTATTTTTCTCATGTTGTACTGCTGCTTCTCTCTCTTGTAACCTACTTAAGGGGCCTATTTCTATAAGTTGCATGTTGTTGTGCTCCAATATTTTAAAAAAATACCCCAAAAGACTGCTACAATTAAACTTCCAGTGTCCACTTTGGCAGTGTCACCGTATCAATTTGGTAAGTGTATGGATAACAAACCTTTGTTACACCTGCTTGGAAACCCCTCCCCCCCCAAAAGTTTAAAAAACAAAACGAAAACAAAACAAAAAAAACCACAACCAACCAACCCCTCTTGTTGGGTGTTTCCCCTCCACTTTCAATGAAAATTTAGTTTAATGGAAACTGTTCTCGAAAATTTGAAAAATTCCAACGAGTTCTAATTTTGCTATGAACTAAGTTATGCTAATTGTTATAATTAGCCTGATACTCATTGACATTTTCTGATGCTTTCATGTCCATGTGTGAAGCAGTTCACTTAAAACAAAAAACCTCCACTCACCCAAGTTTAGTTCCAAATGTAAAGGCTTGGAAAGACGGATACCCAATATCATGGGCATTTGGGGTTGTGGGGGAATTAGGTTCATATAAACGTTTTTTCAAAAAGATTATATTCCACTTCCTTGTTGGCTTCAAGTAGAATATAATGTTTGAAAAAACTTGAACTCCATTATCTGTGCCCCATCCTCAACTGTAAACGTTTACATTCAACCCTCTTTCTGGAATCCAACACAGGAAACATTAAAACTGCATCTGAATAAGTTACCTCAAGAACCCTTAACACGTCATTTTTAGAATATGTTAGAACTGTCGTTCCTAACGGTAAAATATTGTTTTTGTGACTGGGTAGTGCAGTTTCTATGCAAGGCCATATATATCATCTGCAATACTAAAAGTCAGCCAAGTACAGAGCGCCAAGTGTGATTCAGAGTCATCCAGCTTTTGTCAGTGTAAACTAGAATCTTCTTATTTCATCCAGTTTAACTGGTGTGTATGAAGCACTGTGAAGATAAGTTCTTTAAGTGATGATCATTATTATTTTTGCATGTAAAAGTATTTACTTTAAAAAAAATAAGGAACAGAGGGAAAATGTCATTTAAATGAAGGAGCCGAAACAATTTCCAAACTGTAGTTCATTCATAAATGTCAATATTTTGGGGGTTTTCGACTCTAGACCTATAAGATGCATACTCAGTTCCCATTAACATTAAGGAGAGAATGAAGCCTTTAGTTACTTAGCTTTTACAGGTTCTTTTTAAGAGCATGTACAACACCCAATGCAATATAACTACACTTGTAAATCCACAGTCAAGCACTTTTCAAAAAGCAGAGTTTTTAAATACAACGGGCCACACTGTTTCAGAGACATTATGACCTGTCAATAAGTACTTAGTGACTGTTTAATACATGGATATTAGATATTATTCCCAGTGACTAAGGTCATTTAGGTTGCCACACATGCAAAATAAATCTGAGTTTTTGTTTTTTTTTTAGTGTTCTGAAGAGTGTTTTGTCATACATCGTTTTTTAATACATTTAGTTGTATATCCATGATAATAAAATTAAATATCCCCCTGCCTCCCTCCCCCAGTCATCATTCAGTCAATACAATTCCTCAGAAGAAGCTCCAACATTCACTGAAGTCAACTTTTTAAGAAGGGAAAAAACACCACACAAGTTACAGTGCAAGACACTAAAAAGTAGGTGTATAGTTAAAAAAAAAAAAAAAAAAAAGCACAAGGGAACCATTTCCCATTGTTAAGATACAATTTCTCTAATCTGATAAATAAAAAGTGGAGTGAGGAGAGGAAGGTCCCAAATAATGAGAAAATTAATTTGTAACTTGAAAGATAAACACATGCAAACCAGAAAGCACAAATCAAGTACTTAGCACTATGGAAAGCCTTAAGATTCTTAGTCCCTCCCCCGCCGCCACCAAACTAGTCATTTGTCAAGTGGACTCTGAAATAAGGTTGTCCTCTTCTAGTACTAATGCAAGCGATCCATACAGTGACTTAAAAAAATATTTTGATTGGGACACTTATTACAGATGTCCAAAAATGCTTTGAGAAATAATTTTATTTAAGAAGCAAGATTTTTCATGCTTTTAGATTTGGATGAAACCAATGACCCAACAAAAGATTTCTCTGTCAAAACTGGTCAACTCTATCTCAACTTAGGTTTAACACTTTAGTATCCATGTAGGGTGCTACTGTGCTTAAGAGGGGACTCAAAATGTGTCCTTTAGTTTTGTTTTAGAGGACTGGTTAAGACAGACAGACAAACAAACAAAAATAAAAAACTTACTGACTGACCTCCTGCACTGCTGTTGGCTGGATTTTAATATTAGTTTCAGGGGCATTAAGGAAGGACCACACAACTTCAATGTCTTCTCCTTTTTCTTTCAGATAGAGTTCCAGCTGTTGAAATGACAGAGGTTAGTTTTGGTCATCTGCAGACTTGTAAATATCTTTTAAGAGAAGCATTGGACAAAGCTCATCACTGCTGTAAACACGTGCAGTATCACTGAAGTCAGAGTGATACCAGCATTTAATTTAATAAATCTCGAATGATAGTGGCCTAAGAAGAACATAGAATACACTAAAAGGTGAAATAATTTCTTATGAATATAGCCTAGGGCAGGGGTTCTCAACCTTTTTTTTTCTGAGCCTCTCCCCCGCCCAACATACTATAAAAATTCCATGGCCCAGTTGTGCCACAACAACTGGTTTTCTACATATAAAAGACAGGGCCGGCATTAAGAGGTACCAAGCATGGGAATTGCCTGGGGCACCATGACACAGATGCCTCCGCGAAACTACGTTGCTCAGGCTTCGGCTGCAGCCCCACGTGGTAGGGCTTTGGCTTTCTGCCCTGGGCCCCAGCAAGTCTAACGCTGGCCCTGAAAACTGCTTGCGGCCCCCCAAGGGGGCCCAGAACCCTGGTTGAGAACATCAGACTCATGGAAAAAAATGTATTTTCATGGTCCACAATTATAAATGCAATATTATTTATTTGCATTGTCTTCACAAATATTTAGTTTTAATTATACAATGAATTGGGACAAAAGTACCTTAAAAAAAAAAAAGGCAACTTTTGTGGACAGCGCTAACATAAATATTTAAGCATTTTGTAACTATGAGGTTCAAAAGTTAAAACAATCTTTCAGTTTGACTACAGTGTAAAAAAATTGGGCCAATTAGTTTTTTTGGATCTGAATGTAATATTTAGCAAGGGATATAATTAAAAAACGTTACCTGTAAGTGAAGTGGAGACAGTTTCACACTGTATGACTGACATTCTGTGGTAGTAGGTGAAGTATGTGACACATGAACAATAAATTGAATGGAGTCTCCCACTACATTACAAGAAACCACCTAGCGGGGAATAAATAAATAAGGTTTTCATTCAAGAAACTTTCTACCTTGATCAGTTAGAAAAATTATGAAGTTCAGAAATGCAGGGGACAAGGACACTAGACTTTCATTGCTGGAGACCAAAGTTCAAATCCTGACTGTAGTGTAAAGCATTTACAACCACTACCTTTCTCAAAAATTGGAGGTTTTGACACAATCAATAAAATGCTCCAAGTAAGTTCCTTGACTGTCAAACATTCCCCCCTTCCCCCCCCCCAAACACACTTTCAAAAAAATATAAAATTTTAGTCAAAGATCAAATTTTTGCATCAAAACATGATGAAATCCCAGTTTTTTTCATATTTTGATGTGAAACTAGCCATCTTGTGAAAGTTTCACAAGACATTAAGATTTCTGGGTCACAAGATGGCCTGAATAAAATAATGAAGTCGCTTTCACAGCTATCACAAAGATGAATTTTGTTGCATCATCCTAGTTTCCCTGTTTGCAAACATAACAAAAAGCCATCATATAATTTGGCATAATTAGCCTCCTCTACTTAAGAGATCTTTGGTTGAACCAGAAAAGGTGTTGAAATTTAGTACTGAAGTGCACTGGCAGAGTTTGGGGTGAATATTCAAGAGACAAAGCTTGTACAGTGCCTGCCTGCAATACATGTTGCTTAACCCAAGGTAGCCAGTCCATTTGCTTTCATGAACAGTAACTTTATTTATATACCTCAATATATACCTACAAATGCAAAATCTCATCCTCCCTCCTCCCCCAAGCCAATCTGGTTCAGGAACTGACTTTCTACATTCAAAGAACTTGCAGTACACATTTCACAACACAGAGGAGCCCCAGATATAGACGGAAATTCACTAAGGAGGCAGAATCACATCAGCAATCTTAAGTGAATAGACATCACAGTCATGCTCTTATAATGCAAGTACACTAGCTCACATGAAGTCATCAATTTCTGATTCAGGATTCGTTTCATAGGAACATTTTAAGTATGCTATTAAAGCACAAAGGTAGAATTTGTTACTCTAAATATAAATATATGGAGATATACCTATCTCATAGAACTGGAAGGGACCCTGAAAGGTCATTGAGTCCAGCCCCCTGCCTTCACTAGCAGGACCAAGTACTGATTTTTGCCCCAGATCCCTAAGTGGCCCCCTCAAGGATTAAACTCACAACCCTGGGTTTAGCAGGCCAATGCTCAAACCACTGAGCTATCCCTCCCCCTACAGTCCCTTTGCTTTTATGCGCACACATTTTAATTTTAATAAAACACCCAAGACACAGTTTTAGTTAAAAAGCATTATTTACAGTCCCTTTCCACACCCTCAAAAATATTCTTAGGAGGAGAAGACATTCATTATTTCCATCTCTTTCCCCCACCCTCCAAAAAAGTCTGTTTTCTTGATAATTGATTTACAATTCTTATTTGCATTACAGTAATTCCTCACTTAAAGTTGTCCCGGTTAAAGTTGTTTCATTGTTACGTTGCTGATCAATTAGGGAACATGCTCGTTTAAAGTTGTGCAACGCTCCCCTCTAACATTGTTTGGCTGCTGCCTACTTTGTCCACTGCTTGCAGGAAGAGCAGCCCATTGCAGCTAGCTGGTGGGAGCTTGTAACCAGGGTGGAACGGCAGCCCCACTATCAGCTCCCTCTATCAGCTCCCCGCTCCCCTAAGTTCCCTGTGCTGTAGCCGCCCAGCAGGCTATCAATTGCCGGCAGTTCAGCTGTCCCTCCCCCCACTGCCAAGTGCTGCTCCTGCCCTCTGCCTTGGAGCTGCTCCCAGAGATTCCTGTTTGCTGTGCAGGGGGGGGGGGGAGAGGGGGCTAATGTCAGGGTGTCCCCCTCCCCCCTGCTCCTGCACCCCACTTACCCCTTCTCCATATAGAGCAGGGAGGGGACACAGACAGAGAGAGACAGAGAGCTTGGGGCAGCAGCTGCTGTCTCAACTTCCTGATCCACTTAAAAAGACAATGCACTTAAGAGTGGGTCAGCTTACTTAAAGGGGCAGTGTGCATCTCTCTCTCTCTCCCACACACAAGGTGTGTCTGTCTCTGTCTGCTATGCTGTCTCCCCTCCCTCGTGTTCGTACTGCCTTGATGAGAAGCTACATTAACAACGTGTTAATCCTTGAGGGCTCAGCCGAGTGCTAGTTCATCATTTAGCAGCAAGGCATTCCCTGGGGCATATCCCACCCTTTTCCACCCTCTAACTTCACCACCTCAACCAAGCTTCACAATCATCATCGCTGTGAACAGTATTAAATTGTTTGTTTAAAATGTATACTGTGTGTATATCTATATAATATATAGCTTTTTGTCTGGTGAAAAAAAATTTCCCTGGAACCTAACCGCCCCCCCCCCCCATTTATATTAATTCTTATGGGGAAATTGGATTCGCTTAACATCGTTTCACTTAAAGTCACATTTTTCAGGAACATAACTACAACGTTAAACGAGGAGTTACTGTATCTATTTCAACAGTTGGTTATATAGTCCATAGGGTCACTAGTACAACTCCATAATAATAAACAGTTTAAAATAAACAGCAAGCCAAACAAACGACAAATACTCATTCTCAATCTGCTTATATCTCTCAGACTCAACCCAGAAGTCCTCAGTTTCATTCTGTTTCAAACAGAAACACCACAACACTTCTTTCAAAGACTGAGAAAGTTCTTTATAAAAGGTCATTCCTTCTCCTAGGAGGTCTAACGTGTATACACTTACTTACACAGGTAATATAACTGTTTCCTTTATCCTAAAATGTGAAAGTCACGCCTGCTTAGACCTACATCCACTGGAATGGGTGCTCCATCTTTTCATTCTCTACCTTGTCTCAACAGAATTAAAGGTAAAATAGCCAGTATTTGTATGGTGAATTTATACATTAAACAGTGTTCTTATCTTCTAGCTCTGGTTCTTTTCTTATTCCCTTCTCCCCTGAGTTGTAATCAACAATAGTGGTTCTGAGCCACAAACTATTAAATAAAAAAAAATCTGTTAATTTCAAGATCCATCACAGACAAATATTTGCAGATTTGTAGTTTTAATTCAACAAGTTTAGACACTATTTTAACGAGAATGTGTCTATATAAATAAGAGTGTCTAAATTATTTTAAGTTTTCCCTTTCACAATTTACAGAAATTTTATATTTCTATCTCTCAGTCTGATTTTAACTTTTCAGATGAACTTTTTCCTCTGGTTCTCCAGATACACCTCTACCCCGATATAATGCTGTCCTCGGGAGCCAAAAAATCTTACTGCGTTATAGGTGAAACCGCGTTATATCGAACTTGCTTTGATCCGCTGGAGTGCGCAGCCCCACCCCCCTGGAGCACTGCTTTACCGCGTTATATCCGAATTTGTGTTATATCTGGGTAGAGGTATAGCTGAATTAGTAGGGGAACTTGTGCCTCAGTTTCAGTTTGCTCCCTCCTACCTCTCTAGAGAGCTATAAAATGTAAGCTACTCTTTTCTCCTTGAAGAAGTGGCAACATGCAGTTAAATAAATAAAATAAAGAGGTTTAGGTTTATTTTAGTTTGTATATTTGTTTTATTTCAATAAAATTGTTATGTACAGGTACTATATAAACTCACACACTTCACGCATTGTTCCAAATGTTGCCCACGCCTCTGACATTCTATTCTTCCTACCCCCTCTAAACAAGTGGGACATATCCCATAATGAAATGGATTTTAAGTGGTAAATTCTTAGCTTCCCAGTAGCAGTATATTTAGGGTTTGTTAAGATGACTGGCTATACGTATTTATTAAAACTCTCAGTGCATCACTAGCATTGGCTGCCCTTTTCTTTGAAAGAAAGAAACAGGTGCTACTATACAACACAATTTTATTCCCAGATAAATAGCTTAATGAAGGTTGACTGCATATCAGTAATTTAGGAATAAAAATCCTTATAAGAAAAACCACACCATTAGAAAGCCAGAAAATTGAAGTTAAGGTTAAATTTACAATAAACCCCAGTGTTTGAAGGTATGCCAATTTATTCTT